CCTGCTGAGTGGCCACTAATTGAGATTTTGCTAAAATATAAAACGGGATATTTACGCACTGGGTCATATTTTTAATTGAAAGAATTTCCCAATTTTCAGCTTACCTAGCTTGTGTATCGTTTGCATATCGAAATAACCACTCATAGAAATCATTTATTTGCTCATTAATCCCATGTAGAGTTACTGTGGGGCATAAATTATAGTCTGCGGCGATTACGCGGTAACCTTGTTCGACCAGCGGTTCCACGAATGAGCCGGAAGTGTGTCTATCCAACTCTTGCCAGTATCCGCCGTGTATATAAACAAAAATTGGAGAGCCTGAAAACATTAAACATCCACAAGTAACATTCACTAATCACTGTTTTTTTTTTATGCCCAACCGTGCTCCTTATCCTTATAGTAAATGTCTACCACTTGGTTATCAACAGTACTCGCATTGAAATTATTTTTTCTATAGGTTACGCTCTCCCGTACTATATACTTTTTGCGTGCATTTTGAGTTTCTAATAAAGCATTCATATTACTTGTGTTTTATTAACAAAGGGAATCAGAAGTAACTCACGCTCCGTAGTAATTTTCAAAAACTGTTCTATGACAACTATATCAGGTTGTGCCGTATTTAAAAAACGTTTCGAATTTTTCGTAGGTGAATATTCCTTATCCAAGTCAGCATATCTGCCCGTGCTATTAGCATACATTTTAATCAGAAAAATCTACTACCAGCAAGAAGACTCGTGTTGCTTTTCAGTTGATGAAGCCGCATGAATCTAGTATTGAATTTGATTTCTTTTAAACACTCCCAAAGCCTCGTTTATAGTTATGTATGTACATATGTACATAAATGTATATATAACAGATTGACGCTTACACATATGTTAGTGTTTGGCCGAGCTTCTCCTCCGATTTGTGGCGTGCGCCTTGATGTTGTCACTCAAAGCGGAGAGACCTACAGTTTTACGCCGACTCCGAACGGCGATTGTATTTTTGAGAAACTGTTTTTCATGGCATTGTTTGCCGAGGGGCGACCGGTGTTAGAAAAAACTTTATTTTTTTATTTTTATTTTTCGTTGTTGGGTTGAGCCGGGCCCTGCGGAGTGGTAGCGCGCACTGCTAACCACTACACCACAGCTGCGGCAATGTTTATGAATACATTTGTATATAATGGGTTCTATCTTGAATTGTACGATGACAATAATAGAGATAAGCAAAGGTATTTGCTAACTCAAGTATGCATATTTACGCATACATATTCATATCATACATATGTATGGATGTATTGTATACATAGAGGCAAACTCAAAACCGAATATTATTTAACACAATTGCAAACCGTTTTCATTGCAGAATCGCTTAGTATTTTATTGGCTTGTTTAATCAAACTCATCCGTTACAATTATTTTAGGCCCTATGTGTTTGCTTGAACTGGTTGAAAAAACTAAAAAATCACTAAAAAAAGTCTAAGTCATACGGTTAGACGGCCGAACTTTGCAGAAATCGGTACTCTAGAAAGAAAACTAAATTTTTTATAAGGTAGATGCGCTGTCCCCTCTACCTCTGTTTCGATATTCAGAAGCTCTTACTACTTAACTATATAAATATACTTTTGACTTTAACTGGTAATTAATTTCTTCCACTGCACTAACTCCTGCACTTTCTTATGTTATTAACAGGAACGGTAATCATTCTGAGTAAAATAATTTAAATCAGCATTTAATCATTATTTTATGAATTTTATTTTTTTCGCTCTAAAATAATAATTATTATTGATTTTTATTTTTCTGCTCAACGAAAATGATTATTTGATTTTTATTTTTTTGATCAAAAATAATGATTAATTTATGATTTTTATTTTTTCCCTCAGAGATAATAACTATTACTGAGTTTTATTTTTCCACTTAAAAATAATGATTATTTATAAAATTTAAAAGGCTTTACAGACGCAACTTACTGAAATTTTACCTGAAAATTTTTAGACTTATTCCTTTAACTAGGGTGTCGCTACCCCCGAAAAGGATACGGCGGAAACCGAGATGGTATAGATTTTGATTTTTTGGAATGATCATTATTCTTAAGTGAAAAAATAAAACTCGGCAATAATTATTATCTCTGAGCGAAAAAATAAAAATCATAAAATAGTCATTATTTTTGATCGAAAATATAAAAATCAAGTAATAATAATTACGTTTGAGCGAAAAACTAAAACTCAAATATAAATTATTATTTTTAATCTTTATTGATTAAACTCGAAAAATAAAAATCATTGTAAATTACTGTGGGACGTACGAAAACAAATACGTGGGTATAAATAAAATGGTTTTACAGCGATTATAACTTGTTGATTTTTTTGGTTAAAATTGAAAAAATTATGATTATTTTCCGTGCCTGGTTATTAAGGTGGTTGAAGATTCATATCGTCTTTTAGTTGTAAAAGATTCCGGATAGTTGCGAAACCATTTAGACTTGTTACAACATAGAAAGTATAAACTGTACTTTATATAAATTCTTAACTTTATTGCCGTTTAGTTGTGAAATAATTAGTTACGCATACGATTATAAGTGCTTAGGGCTAAAGAGATTTTAAAAAATATACGCATTCTCATATTCATATTTATTAGAACTAATAATATGTTAGACACATTAAAGTATACATATTTAGTATGCTTAACGTAAGATAATTTGTTAGTTAGTATGTTGACATAGAGAACACAATGAATTATAACATGTGCGCTCAGCACCTGCATTCTCACTGCAGGTCGCCAACCTCTTTTGTAGTTATGTATGTATTTTACTTAAATATTTAATTACGTTTAAATTTACAATTATTATTTTTTTCATATACATACTTATGTATGTAATATTAGCTTAATCGATTTTTTATATTTTAACATGCATACATATTCGTAGGCATTTCATTCATTTTTCCCACTGGCAAAATAGGTAAGCACCTTACGAGGTAAGCCATATTTTCTTTCAGTTTTTAGTAGCAAAGTTGTCATCATGGCCAATGTGATCTACTAGTAAAGCACAAAATGAACCTCTCCGACGACACATTACATTGTCAGTTGCAAAATAACGTGCAGCCGAAGTTATTTGCAAGCGCCGAACTACTCCGAGCGACTGCTCTGCATTACACTAGCTTACTTTGTAAAGCGCCTCAGAAGTATGTCTGATACCAAATGAACATTCTAAATAAATTACTACTTACATAAGGCGGCCACGTTTTTGTTAAAGTAATGGAGATTCAGCAGGGAAGTGGTAAGGACCGCCGGGTGAAGGGCAATACCTTACCAGCGACTTGCACTTCACCAGGTGGTCCTTACCACTTCACTGACGAATCTCCTTTACTTTACTTAAAACTGAAAGAAAACATGGCTTACCTCGTAAGGTGTTTACCTATTTTCCCAGCGGGAATTATTATACCGCATGTTGTATACTTGTACACATGCATGCGACATACATACATTCTTATTTATTTATATACACAATATGCGAAAAGGGAAATTTTAAGCTTTCTGCGTAAAACGTTAGTTTTTCGTTTAGGGACATCCTATAGTATGCTACTACCACACAAAAATTAAATACCAAAATTAGATATTTCATATGTATATATGTGAATATATGCAACATTCACTCTTGAGTTTCGTTTTATTAACATTCCGATAAATAACAGAGCAGTATAATTTTTGTGTTACATACTTTGAAATTTAGTGGGACGATTTATACACATGGAATTCCCGATCGTCAGCACAACCTCCTTTCCATGCCAATCTTATTATTTTGCTGATTGCAAATAAATAGCGAAAGTAAATAAACATATGCATTCTTTTTAAATGTTTATAACAAAATTATGCATACATTCATAGATACATACATATGTACATATGTAAGCATATATATAGTGTATTTACAATGAAATCCTTCCAAACTATGTATATATATAATATATACAATTTGAAAATAACCAGTGGCTTCAGTAATGTTATGCAATTTTTACGCTACTACTATGAAAATTTTAGAATTCCAATAATCTATAAAATGACAAATGATAATTTATTCCAACGAGTCGTATACTATCTAATGACGACCTAGATTAAAACCAGCCAAGGACTGCTAGAACAGCAGCCAACATCCCTCAAAATGTTCCCATATATTTTCTTGTTTTAACAACTAGGGAATATGATATTTATTGTTAAGTAAATGGCAACAAATTTAATTACAGGCCTGCCCTAGTAAGAACGAACAAATCAGCGCTATTATAATAAATTACAAACTGTTAAATAAAATAAATAAATAAATTTCCTACTAGTTTTAGCTTACTAGCTCAATTTAATGGACTGTCTGTTTCTCAAAGAATGTCTCCATTTGTAATGCGTTTTATGTTATGGTACCAATTAGAGCTGGTCACTTTATGATTAAGATTACATTTTGATTACCTAGGATTAGCATTACATTTAAGATTACAATTATATCATGTATTTCATGGTTACGATTACAGTAACCTCAGTCCTTAAATTTTTAAGATTACAATTATTACAATCGTAATGGCAACATTTATGATTACAATTAAAATAATCGTATTCGTATATAATTTAAGGATTACATTTAAACAATCGTAATTAAAATGTAACCGTAATCATAAATTGTCCACCTCTGGTACCAATGAAAAAAAATTTATTTACTAGCTTTGTTCGTTTAAAATAATAATAAGAAAATATCCTCAAATACATAGAGAAGCATACAAAATTCTGCACGTACGCAAATTTGTAGAAATTCGCACGTTTGACTGGAGTTAATAATTATTAAATAAAATAATATTTACTCACTTCTTTTATAGAAAATCGCAAATTTTTCGATATCATAATTTCAAATTCATCGAACTGGTTTCATTTAAATTATTGACAACAAATGCAACCATGTGCTACAATTCTGCTTGCAGATCCTGACTGCAGCAATTCTTCCGCCGTACGTACAGAACTAATTTCAACAGAGAACAGTGAAAATTAACTTCGAATGCCACATTGCACATATTGTGGGCCTAGTTAAAAAAGTGCAGACACAAAATACCAAATACGACCTCAAAATTTGGACGTAGGGTCAAAAAACCGCTTTCGGTGGCTTTTTGCCCACAAATTTAACCCTTCTGAACCGATATTCAATATGTTGCTGGAAAGAGAACTTATATGCGCTTATAACGATATATAACTTACCATATAATAATAAAAAATAGTGGGACCATTACCGTAGGCTTAAAAAAAAATTGAAATTTCTACTGATTTTTTGATTATAAAGTTGTTTTTCATATTACGGTAATAATCCCAAATTTTTTTTTATCATACTGTAAGTTATATGTATATCGTTATTAGCGCCTATAAAAATTGAATATCAGTTAAGAAAAAGTTAAGCTAAAGTTATGAGCAAAAATAAATCCAGATTTTGAAGGTGTATTTGGGATTTCGAGTACTTTTTTTTATTTTTTATTACTCAACTTGGCTACAATTGTGCTATGTGTCATTTGGAGTTATTGGTGTTACATACACTGTAGTTATGATATGTTGCCAAAGATTTAAAGTTTTTCAGGATAGGTCTGTGATTTTAAACTTTTAATATCCAAACTCGATATCTATCATAATAGCTATGCTATTCTCGCGTGTTTCCCAAAAATAAAATTGAGCAGCTATGTACAGCTAAATTAAGTAAATTGCTGCAACGCCTGTAGCCACAACTACGATTCCTCGTCGGAAATGACAATTTCTGCAACTGTGCGTTGTCGTTTATTCGGCGTTTTCGTCGATGATGCATCCCGTTGATTAGCCTGCTTGCTATCCACAATAGTTGTGCTACTGTCAGCTACATCCTCTTTGTTTTTTAAACTTGATAAGGAAACTATTTTTATTGTTGGTGATTGACTGCCTTGCGTGACAGTTTTCATGCGTCCGTTTGCTATGGATACTGCCTGCTTACTATCATCATCTGATTTTACTCCGGTAGTGGTAGCAGGTTCTGCGCCAGCTAAGGGATCCACAGTCTTTTGTCTCGTTGCATTATTGCTTACAGATGTTTTTGTTTGCGAAAGCGTTTCTGTTGCATTTGTGGGCGTAACGGCGTTTTGTGCCTTTTGTGTTTCGTCTGACTTTGACTGAGTGTTGGTTGATGAGCACGCTACTTCTTCGGTTGTAATCGTTGCTATCGGATTTTTATCTATTGTTGTTTGTTGTTGAACCGAATTTGTATCGTTTACTTTGGATGCCTCGTTTATTTCGTCTTTTGAACTGTTTACAACTATTTCCACATCGGATTCAACATCGGAAAGGTTGCCATTAGCCAATTTATCAACGTCCGCCTCTAGGTCGCTTCCATTTACTTGGTCCTCATCCTCTTCCTCATCTTCATCCTCATCTTCATACTCGTCGTCATCATCTAGAACATCGTTACCGTTGCGATTTACATTAGTCATTACTTCTCCGTTTTCCTTCTTGATCTTTCGTGTCGCTGCAGTATTTGCAGCATTGGCACTAGTGCTGGCGATCGCATCATCTTCATCATCAGCGCTACTTTCGCTTTTCAACCTCTTCGCCACTTTAGTTTGACGTGCCTCTTTCAATTCCTCCCTTAGCATATCCTGTTCGCGCGCAAATCTAAACAAACCATTACAAAGTCACTGTTAACTGAATAACCAAATAAACTCACTTTTCAATCACGTCACTAATACGTGTCCGTTTCTTTTGATTTTCACTTAACTTCGCCTGTAGTGCGGGATCTACACTGGCTGGGTCTTTCTCGTGAGCTGTGAAATGCGTGACGGTTTCGTAGAGATCAGTCTTCCGGCGCGACTGCAGCAATTTCCCAACCTTCATGAAGGCATCATGCGCTTTGAAAAAAAATAAAAGAAAAATAACGTTATGACCTTTTCATAATACCGGCTACGCGCCAAACAACCACTATTACGTATGAGATAACACGACTTCGGCTGCAACACCGACAAGCACTCACCGATGCGCTTCATTTCAAAAGTTGCCAAAGTATAGGCGTATTGACGATTGCAGTGCTCCAGCATCCGCAGCACGTCGAAGTAATCGGGAAACTCCTTCGTGCGATTTACATACGCCTGCAGTGTCTTATTGAATTGTGTATAGGTGGTACCATTAAAATGTATTGGCTTCTTAACCAAACGATGTGCATTCTTGCTCTCTCCAGTAAGATCACAGATTTTTTCATATATCTGAAAAATGTAAATGAAGTATTCTTTAGTAAAGATTATTTTAAACTAAAACATAAATGACTTCCATACCTGGCAAGCACGCTTTTTAAAACGCTCCACTTGCAGATAACTTGAATCTTCATCTTCCCAATCAACTTCGGTAGATTCTAGCACTTCAATACGCTTCGTCAGTATATACAATGCCTTATTCAATTTCTTGATCTGTTCGTCAGTGTGTTTGTTACCAGTGCTGCCGATTTCTTCAACGACTGCATCACCGCTTTCCGCACCCCCGCCAGCAGTAGATTCCCGATCTCTATCCCTGGTACCACTACTACAAGCAGTAATATCACTTTTTTCTTCGCTTCTTACCAACAAAGTTGGCACCGCTTCTTTGTTCTTGCTGCGTACTTTCAACTCGTCAACTACTGTCTTTAGGTGCAGATATACCAAATCTGGTTCCTTACGTATATTTGCAATAACCGTTCTTAAATTCTTGCTAAATCCTTTCGAACACACAAAGTCTGGGTGCACGTTATAGTAGTATTTTATTAGTTTTGATTTGACGAGCTTCTCCATGTCTGCTGAAGGATCTGCTTCTCGGCAAACTTTTAACAGTTCGTCATAATCACTCGTAAGTGGTAGTCGCTCGTCAAAAGACTTGCCTTTATCATTGGAATTCAATGTACTACTTTTTGTCGATTGAGTTGCAGCATCACCATTTATGATTAGATTTACGGGCTTATTTTGTGCGGACGTCGATGGCGAGATCGTTGGTGAAATTGTGATTGTTTCTACGCTTCGAGTAGTAGTCTTATCAGGCGACTCAGTTAGATCGATTTTCAGTGACAGGGCCGGCTTATGTACGGCTGATTTTTGGGTGCTTGCAAATGTAGGTTTGTTAGGGACTGAAAGTGATGGGGCTGATGGTTTTTGCGACTTTGCTGTGTTTTGCACCGCTCCTGCTAATTGTGTTGCCATTTGGGAGTGCGATTTGGTATTTGTGGAATGCGGCAATAGTTCTAATACTAAGTCATCATCATCGAAATTTCTCCCAGTTGTTGTTGTTGCTGTTGAAAGGTTTGTGCGCTTCAGCCATGCCTCGTCATTTTTACGTATCAGCGTTGTTGGCTTGACACGACGCACACTTGCTAATGAATTCGTAGATGCAGATGTTGAAGTGTTTGCACCCGATGTTGAAGGAGCTCCCATTGACGCCAGTTGAGCGGCTGCCGTTAGTGCGATTGGCACAACCGTTGCTGTTGACGTTTTGGGCTTGTTTGTAGTGTTGGCTGCATTGTTGCTGGGCATTGGATTGATTTGTGCCGCAAGGCTATTCACATAGGCTATGCGGGGTCCGGAACTTGACTGCTGCAAAGCTACTGGTATGGCTAGAGATGTCGTTACCGGTGTAGCAGCGGTGGAGGGAGATTGGAGATTTATGCCAGCGCTATTGCTGCTTTTGGGTGGTAACATAATTTTAAAATTGTTGTTTATATTTTTATTATTACTTGATATAAAACTATTGCTGTTGTTGGCATTGGTGCTGGTAGATGATTGTGGACGCGAGGCTGTTACCGTCGTGGATGGCGGCAAACTGCATGTGGTATGCATCAATTTCGGGCTAAATAGCTGCTGATCACTGAAAGTTGTGGCTGCACTATGCGGTGGTGTAGCCAGTAATTGAAGCGGTGGCGTTGCGCCTGCCGCCATTGATTGTACCGATGAGATCAGTGGTAGCAATGCGGTATTGGACGTAGAACCTGTTGAAGTACTGCTGGGACCTGCTGGAATTGGTTTGTTAGTGGCGGGCGGTGTGCTAGGCTTGCGTGCGTGTGGATCAAGCTGTAGAAGCTGCTGCAATCTAGGCGGATTTTGTTGTTTGGATTTTTGCAACTTTGGTAGCTGTTGCTGTTGCTGTTGCATTTGTGCTTGTAATTGTTGTGAAGGCGAGGACGCTGCTGTTGATAAACGTTTCCGTAAAACCGAAGGTGATGGCTGTAACTGTGGCAATTGCGACAAAAGCGGCAAGCCCTGCTGGAATTGCTGTGGCTGTTGTTGCTTCGATGGAGGCTGCTGCTGCAGTTGTGGTTTTGGATTAAGTTGTTGCGTTGGCAACTGCCGTGGTGGAGCAGGTGTTTGTTTTTCCTTAGCACTACTAATCGAAGAAGCTATATTTTGTTTAAGAAGACTTGGTGTCGTCGTTTTGGACAGCATCGAATTTAGTTTACTGGTTGCAGCCACTGTAGCTGCTGAAATTTTTGTTGCTAATGAATTGCTCATGTTGGCCATGGCATTTGAAACTGTAGCGGCCGCATTAGTATTGTTGCTGCTCGAATTGGAGGAAGCCACATTAATAGGACTACGGCGTGTGATTGTAATGCCGCTTGGTATAGTGCGTGGCTTCATCTTTTTGTGTTTCAGTTGATTTGCTGGTGCGCTTGGTGGACATTGCGTGACCGTTCCCTTTATCGGAGTTATTGTGGCCGGAATTGAAGGAGCAATGAAGGCTCGCTTTGCTGGCACCTAAAAGAAAAAAATGGTTAAAAGTGAAGGGAAGAGAGTCAGATCTTCAACTAGTGGTGGTGGGTAAAAAAAAAACAAACAGAATAAACATCGATATTTAAACTAGTAGCTTTCCAGTAGTAATACAGTACTGTAATACAAATATGCAGTTCAGCATAAATTAGAGGAGAAAAACTATTTTATTTCTGTTTAAATTAAGGAATCCTTATGATCCATACTTTTAGCTTTATCGTACTTCAACTATGTAAAATATATTGATCATCACTTTCTGTACTACAAATCTTGTTTCATTATTAATATTAGGTGGATTAAGGTAACGATAGAACTTTTAAATTAGCTGTTTTAGTATATCTGCACTTTACCGGTAGAATGCTTTTTTCAGAAGTAGTTTTATTTATTACACATGAACATGTTTCGTTTAACAGCATCGCTAGATCAATAAAATGATTTAATCTTTCCATTTCGAAATTGTCTAACGACCGTAATGTTTTAAAATAACACAGTTTTATCTAACTGGTGTAATAGATGAAAACATATTTATCCCCCTTTTATAAGCTCATTTATATATCGTCGATGTTTTTACAAAACAGCTTTATTCTGAACAACTCTCATATATATGTCTAGATACAAATTTTCAGGTTCATGTGACCTATGGTTAATCATTTATGGTTGGTTAAAAATTCCACGCCTATGGGATGCGACACGCCCCTTTTTGCAAACTCATGTATATAAAGCCTACTACCTACCGTAGATATGTCCGCATACCAAATTTCAATTTCATGTGAATGTGGTGGTTTTGAAGTTATACATAGCTGATAAAAAATTCCACGCCTATGGGATGTTCCACGCACCCTTTTACAAACGCATTTATTTACCGCCTACTATAACCAGCTACCATAGCTATGCCTGCGTACAAAATTTAAAGTCCATGTGACTTATGCTTTCGAATTTATAGCTGATAAAAAATTCCACTTCTACGGGATGTGGCGGGCCACGCCTCTTTTTACAAACTCCCTTCATATATACCTTACTATAAGCACAGCTGATACAAAAAATTTTCGCCTATGGGAGGTGCCACGCCCCCTTGTCGAATTCCAATTTTTTTCTCCCTATAATAGGCCCAGGTGTCATAGCAATACTCTGTCAAAATACTGTTCGATTCTGTCCGTCCGTTTAGGCTGCAAACTGGCACATACATACAAACATACATACTTCCACAAATATATGGTAGATATCCAACAAAAATATATGTTAAAGCATAAACAGACAGCAGCGTTGATCCGGATCAACTCGGGAATTATCTGCGGATTAACTCGCTGCCGTCTGTTTAAGCTTTTGGAGAACGATTAAATAATTTGTCTACCATTTTGTTAAACATTGGTTTTTAATTCACAACTGCAATATTGGGAACTTTAATCTTCCACAACACGGCTTTGATTCATATAGTGCAAGAAATTTCCGCCAAAATACTTTTTACTTAGTAAAAAAAACTTATTTCACCATCAGCATGCTGGTACGATCATAGAAACGATTGGAGATACTGTCGAGAATGTCAGCATTCTCTACAAATAGGGACTTAGTTTTCAATATCGAGAAAGAAGTTAGATATCAATCGTATTCTTAATTTACGCCATACGAAATGAGGCTGTGTGTTTGCCGAGTAGTGTCTGTTTGTAAATAGCAACCGACCAGAAACAGGCTGCTTAGCAATATATTATGATTCCTTTAGCAATAATCTCGCATACATATGTACATACATAAGTATGTACATATATGTTGCTGTTCTGGCCGCATAAAAAGGCGTACGGTAGTAGTCCGAAGCGCTGTGCTTATTGGCAGTTTTGTCCACTGCCCTCTCCAGAAGATAATTTAGGTAGGCCTTCTTAAGTGTAATGCATTTTAAATTGCAATAAAACATATGTACTTATTTGATATGAACCTTAAATAAATACCTTAAAGAAGCAAGATTTTTATGAATTACTTTATAAGAACGTCCTACAAAAGCCCTTCGGGAAGCCTTTATATGGATAGCGAAAACAAAAGGCCTTCAATTTGTGCCACTCCATACAAAAAAGAAAGGATAAAGGAAAGCAAGTGGAAGGCCTCTTGAATTTCAAGGCCTTTTAGCTCGTGAAATTATCTACTGGGTCTACTGAACTACATAGGTCCAATAGCATAAAAGTGTCCCAAAGAATTTTGTTTAGTGCAGCTGACAGCTGCAACAGTCTTTGGCAATATAAAAACCAGGAACGTTCCAGTTGCGTAGGCGTATTGATTGAAGGTTAATTCATATGTATGTACATTTTTGCAATCACATTTTATTTTTAGGCATACTCCGTGCTTCATGCATATTTTGCCCACTTTGGTTATAAACAAACAACTTGATTTCCTTTCGTAACTCAACTTCTGTCGTTCTCTTATCAATGGGTAAAAAATCAAAATAAAAATAAAAGGCGGGAAATGCAAATGGAGACTTGTAATGAGTAAAATAAACCACTTCCTGAGAGCGAGTCAGTGGAGACATTTTCGAAAACATCGCATGCGCAGCGTAAAACCTCTAGTTGTTAAACAACTGCGCTGCCAGTGTTGGCAGAACTGCTTGCGACATGGAATACTGCTGCCATACTAAAAATGGTGTTATTAACGATTATAAATAAATTGATTACTGTTAATATTGAGAAGTTTCCTATACAACTGTACCTAATATCTTCGTGCTTAATAGCGCTCAACATAATTAATTTTTCTCAGATATGTATGTACATAGTATGTTTACGTACCATAAGTATTACGTCAAAATGATGTTTGTTGTAATTCATACCAATGACAGTATGGATATCTGCGTATAATTTTTATGTGCAATTTTTTACTTATATACGGTTTACACCACTGTTAAATACGCCTTGGTGGTATTACCGGCGAATTTAGATTTTCGCCTCGGTCCTTCTGAATGTCAAAATGCCGCAGGGCGAATTTATACAAGGTGGTGATGGCGAATTTAGATTTTCGCCGCGGTACTTAATGTCAAACTGATGTGTTTGTTATAATGTCAATTCGCCTTGCTTGCAACAAACACATCTTGACATTAGGAAGTACCGCGGCGAAAATCTAAATTCGCCATCAACACCACCTTGTATAAATTCGCCTTGAAATGACGTTTTTGTTGTAGTACGAATTCGCCTTGTTTGGGTGGTGTATTAATTCGCCTTGACCGGTAAGATAGTGATCAAGGCGAATTTAATAAGGTGGTTACAGGCGCATCTGAATTTTTAGCGATTATACAAGATGAATTTATACAGGGTGGTGTTACCGGCGAATTTAGGTTTTCGCCGCAGTCCTGAACATCAAAATAATAGCCGTCATCGATTCGCCATCAGTTAGCAAGTGGCGAAACGAACGAACTCAATGAGGTACAACCAAACTTGCTATCGTATATCCGTGCTAGCTAACTTTGTTGTTGCTTTCACATGCAAAATTTTTCGTTAAGCGACCGGAACTCAAACATAGCGAGCGAGAAGTGGCGAATCGACGACGGCAAATAGTTGCGTTCCCAAACTCGCAAGAAGTTGCAAGAATTTACCGGATTTTACCAGAGTGTTTTTTTGCTTTTGATGGGTGTGCTGTCAAATCGGTAAAAGCGAAAACAAAATACATGTAAGGCGCACAAATCAGCTGGTCTACCACCACCTATAAATTCGCTTTGGTAAGTTCAGTTGTTATCACGGCGAATTTATACAAAGTGGGGTGTTGTATGATCAGATGATTTTTTCGCCTTACATGCATTTTGTTTATGCGTTCACTGATTTGGCAGCACACCCATCAAAAGCATAAACAAAATACATGTTAATTTTGCGTTGAATTGAGATTTAACATAACACCTGCAATACAAAATACATGTGGTAGTTGTTGTAATAGAAATTCACCAGTGAACCCTTTCCCATTCCCACTTCCATTTTTTCCCCCTACTTTGCCAGAGAACCGAGAACGGGCAAAATACATGTAAACATTACAATAACAAATTAAACGCACATTGCCAATCAGTACAAAATAAAATTACAACATACATAATTTTGACAAAGGTACAAATTCGCCGTGAAATCAGTGGGTCCGGTAACACCACCTTGTACAAATTCGCCTTGAAACTCACACACTTCACCTATGCAACCCTAGCATTAGTGTCATCGCTGACATCCGCGAAGACATGACTACCCCCATTAATTTAACAACACTTCCAAAGGTACTTAACTGCTTGGCAGCAAGCAATCCGTGCATGTATATGTTGGTCTACCTATAGCTGGTTGGCCTGTTTCAATAATTGCCTTCGTAAGCGCAACTGTTCATCATCATCACCTCCGTCATTCCAAATGCCATTCGCGAGCAATCGGCGAACCCAAGTCTCCACGGTGCACTTCGCTACTACACCTTGTAGAGTTTATTTTGCTTTAAGACAGAACAAGTACTGGTCTACATACTCATATTTTACTTATGTACCTATGTATGTATATAATTTGTGCTTTGTCCAATACTTTTATGCAGGCGCAATAGCGCGTATAAATGAACGTCGATGCTGCCGACAACAGTGACTATGGTTGTGGTTTTAGCTGTACATTTATAGCGCCAACCCAAAACACTGAAAAACTGCGCCGACGGCAGCAGAGATGAGTGACAGAAGAAATAAAAAAAACGTCACATTATTCGCCATAGCGAAAAGAAATTGAAAATGTATCCATAATTTTGGCAGTATTAAATATCTAATTTCGTAGTTTTTTTTTTTTATCTTCCCTATTCCTATTTTACCTCTTCTTCGTCGGAGGAGTCCACTACAATCACAGAACTCATTTTTTCACTGCGAATATTCCTCTTTTTCACATGGGGCTGACTGCCTGTTAGTCGCCCCTACTGCTGCTATACCACACCGTTTGTAGCGTGCACAATTTCTGAAAAATTTCACGACTACACTAGCGTAATCAATTAAAATCCAATGTTTTCTAAATTTTTTTATTATCACAAAACGGATGAATTAATTGCCCCGGCGCACTTTACTAATACAGCAACTATAGAATATCTACATTCGACGGCGAATAATTGACTACTTGTGCAATAATTCGTATGTCGCAAGTTAAAGCTGATGCCAGATAAAACTTTGTAGCTTTGCGTGACATTTATAACTTTGCCAGCAAAGCGCCAGACGCAAAAGGTATGCCACAATGAACGCCAAGAAAACAATGTTGTACCGCTTTTTTACTCATCAAAGTTGCTGTGGATTTTAATTATTTTGATTTAAAATTATCAGCAATGTAATTAAGTTTTATGTTTCTGCATGAAAACCCGAATTTGGACGAAACAAAATAAATATTAAACCGGCTGATTGTCAAAGCGCGCAAAAAGATGGGAGTTGACCATCTTTTCGCTTCGCGCTGCCGCTTCAACGATTTATGTGGCATGCTTTGTGCATTTTCATACAATTCATCTTATCTGTCAAAGCGAATCTGTCACGTAAAGCGAAGCAAAAGTTTTATGTGACATCAGCTTAAATGCGATTTTCGCCGCGCTGGCTTCTATTGTATTGTGGTCTTTTTGTTTTCTTCTTGATTATTTTCCCGAAGAAAATGAACAAAATTCGATGTTTTTGATTGGAATAGTACATTTTGTGACAATTAAGTATTGTTGTTCGCCGCAACTGTAACAAATTGTCGCCGCACAATGAGAGTGGCTGCAAAGCAATTCTCCAAGGCGAATTATTAAATTTGCCTTGCAATTCTCATTAAGCTTTTGTAGACATGCACGGTTGCCGCCATTGGTACGAGGAAGACAAATTTTTTTTATCAGATGTTTGCAAAATGCATGGCTTTCAAACGAATATAATTATATATTGGTGCATATTCATAGTCGAAATAAAGTATGTACGATAAGAAGGTAAAATAGCATGAGCATGAGCCAAAAATACAAGATCACGCAAGAACGTATGCATTGCTTTTGCATGTTGTATTTGTAACTGCATTTGGGAAAAGTTTGTGGAGCGGGTTCGTCAGCTGAGCATTTGTTTATATCACCAGCACCACCATTTTAAACTTTTTTTAATAAATAAGAGTTAATTCAACACAATACGTTTTAAAGCCTTTTAATGAGTAATTTTACCTAAATTGTATGTTTAAACTGGTTCACAGTAGTTTTGGTTTTTGTTGTATTCTTTGCTTTTACTTTTCGGGATGGCGTAGAACCCGCTCAAAAAATAAACTTTTTTCACACTCTGTTTCTTGCGTGAACTTGTATCGTTCGTTTATGGTAAACTATCGTATTTTTCCAACCTTGTATTTAGTCTGTTCCAATAGCAGTCCGGTTTACAGGATTTAGTCAGAACTTACAGGAAGTCGTTCTTATTGACATAAAACCTGTAAATGGGAACACTTTTGAGAGAGTAACTGAGCAACTGTTCCTAGTCAGAAGTTACAGGATTTAGTCCGCAATTTTTTTTCCTGTAAGTTCATGAAAAGTGTCAAACGATCAGCTGATTTACATGTGCAAACAAAAACAGAAAGCCGTGAAAGCAAAAATCCTTGTATTTGTAAAAAAATGGAAGTAAACAACGAAATGTTTGAATATGTATTGATTTTAATAATCAGTTAGTGGTATTTCAGCCAAATCAGTGTTGTACAAATGACATGTAAACAAACCGACTGACGTTTTTACAGGAAATAGTGCTTTTTGCGTTCCTGTGCCCTTCTGCATTTGTTCTCCTTTTACTTTCACTTGAGAGAGTAAAATTGTAGTTTGACAGTTCCACAGGTTTTAGTCCGAAGTTCAAAGGAACAGACTAATTATGAGCAACCTTATCAAGGCGTGTTTAACAAGGTGGTGTTAGCGGTATATGAGTTAGTCTGTGCCAATAGCAGTCCGGTTTACAGGATTTAGTCAGAACTTACAGGAAGTCGTTCCTATTGACATAAAATCTGTAAGTGGGAACACTTTTGAGAGAGTAACTGAGCAACTGTTCCTAGTCAGAAGTTACAGGATTTAGTCCGCAATTTTTTTTTCCTGTGAGTTCATGAAAAGTGTCAAATGATAAGCTGATGTGCATGTGCAAACAAAAACAGAAAGCCGTGAAAGCAAAAATCCTTGTATTTGTAAAAAAATGGAAGTAAACAACGAAATGTTTGAATATGTATTGATTTTAATAATCAGTTAGTGATATTTCAGCCAAATCAGTGTTGTACAAATGACATGTAAACAAACCGACTGACGTTTTTACAGGAAATAGTGCTTTTTGCGTTCCTGTGCCCTTCTGCATTTGTTCTCCTTTTACTCACACTTGAGAGAATAAAATTGTAGTTTGACAGTTCCACAAGTTTTAGTCCGAAGTTCAAAGTAACAGACTAAGTAAAAAATTACATTAACAGATTATACGCAGATATCCATACTATCATTGGTATGAATTACAATAAACAGCTCATTTTGACGTAATTCTTTTCACGGCGAAAAACTCAGCTGTCGCCCCAACACCAACACGTTAAATACATCTTGAATCAAGACGTATTTATACAAGGTGGTATTAAGAGAACAAAAACGAAAATTATAACAACAAATTATACGCACGTTGACAATCAGTGCAAAGCAAAATTACAACATACACATCAGTTTGACAAAAGGTACAAATTCGCAGTGAAATCAGCGGATCCGGTAACACCACCTTGTATAGATTGCCTTGCCTTGAACTAGGAATGTTCGATATCGTATCGATTATTCTGAATATCGATATTTCATGGCACGATAATCGATTTTTTTAATCGATATTCCAAGGTCGATATATCGAAGACATCGATACTTTACCTGCAATATCGATATTTAAGTTGAAATTTATTTTTATCTACAAAAAAGTGTATGGGAAAATACTAAAGTAGGTTTAATCAGCAGCTTGTGTGATTTATTTAGCTCTTAAGTTTAACCAACCGCTTTAGTCGACCGGCATGCCGTTTTAATCCTCAGTAAATATACAAGATGGAAATAACACAATTAGGTGAGTTGACAGGCAGGTCTAATATTCTATTCAATTAAGAGTAGGATTTTCAACATCGGTTTTGTTCAGCCCGATATATCGCCATATCGATTTTACATGCAATGAATTAAATCGATTCATGATATTGATACTATCTCAAATATAGAACATTCCTACCTTGGACTAGGAATGTTCGATATCGTATAGATTTTTCTGAATATCGATATTTCATGGCACGATAATAGATTTTTTAAATCAATATTCCAAGGTCGATATATCGAAGACATCGATACTTTTTACCCGCAATATCGATATTTAAGTTTAAATTTATTTTTCATCTACAAAAAAGTGTATGGAAAAATACTAAAGTAGGTTTAATTAGCAGCTTGTGTGATTTATTTAGCTCTTAAGTTTGACAAACCGCTTGAGTCGACCGGGATGCCGTTTTAATTCTCAGTATATATACAAGATGGAAATAACACAATTAGGTGAGTTAATAAGCAGGTCTAATATTCTATTCAATTGGGAGTAGGATCTTCCAAATAGATTTTTCCTATATCGATATTGTTCAGCCCGATATATCGCCATATCGATTTTACATGCAATGAATTAAATCGATTCATGATATCGATACTTTCTTAAATATCGAATATTCCTACCTTGAACCGTTTGCTAATTTTTGTTCTATCCAATAATGCCTATTTAATACAACACTACAGGGTTAGGATGCGTAAAGCACTGCCATATCTTTGTGAGTAAATTTTTTTTGTAGTTGTGACCACTTTTTTGCAATGTTCTACCTTTTAACATGGCGGAATTCATGGCGAATTGGCAAATAAATTATTAAAATTATAAAATAATTAATAATTCTCGAAGTAATTAAAGCGAGAAGCAACATTGTGATACTGTCTTCTTTGAAAATTTCTTTTAAAATTTGACTATGAAGCAACCGAATGTCAGAAAATAAAGCGAGTAAGCTATTTCATTACTTCACCTGCTTATTGCGTCATGACCATTTAAAGTAGCTGTTAAGTAGCTGTTAGGCGTGACAATGCAATATATTTCGAAAAGGCTGTCAAATTGAGAAACTTCAGAAAGCAGTTGCATGAGCAGTCAGAGCTTACATGTAAAGTGTATTTCAAAAGAGTTTTTTTTTTATTTCCGAAAGGCGAATTGCAGATTGCTAGTGCAGCACGAGCAAGTTGAAATATATTCCCGAAATCGATTTGCGCTCTCTCAATTGCAGTCACATCTTGTAACTTTTATTTCAGAAATGTGACAGAAAGGCCTTCTGGCTATTTACACGGGAAAGTAGACTATTGGTTTTGCATTTTGATAGCAAAATGCGTAGTAAAAGCGCATGCATTGCCACGTTTAACCGCCCCTTTACAAATTAATTTAACATTCTGTAGAGTCTATAATATACTCGCTTACGTAAGCTATTTGCAAATACCTAACTCACTGTTTATTCGATGGTGAAAAATTCTTTTTTAATATTGCCTGATTATAAAAAGGCAATAATATGACCATCGAAAAGGAAAATAAAGTTAAAAATGGCAACGTATTGATTATAAAAAGGCAATAAGATGACCATCGAAAAATAAAATAAACCTATAATGGCGGCGTCTTGCGCTTATTTGCAAATAGTACCACTAATCAATACTTATTTGCGTGATTTAGTTATTTGCAAATAAAAAATTAACTCAGCGTTTATACGGCACAGTTTACCATTTTGCAAATTGTTATTTGCAAATAATGCGTGCGTATAAACGTAGTAAAGGGCCGTTTACTTAAGACTTTCCTCGCTTTGCATGACAGTTCGAACTTTGACAACAAAGCGTGAAGCGTAGAAGGTATGCTGCTACAATAAACGCTTTGACAGCTTCTGCTTCCTCCTTTTCCTCCATATTTTATCTATGTAAAATAGATAACAATATAATAATATGCATTAATAATAGCAATACAAATTCCTATTTACCTTATTTTTATCATTAAATGCAAATGCAAGCGCACGCGAAAAGATACATGTAAACAGCTGATTGCCAAAGCGCGCAAAAGTTGAGAGTTGCCCATGATTTTGCTTCGCTTTGCTTTCCTCGCATTCTATTTAGCAAGACTCATATAAAAGGAGCGTTCCTATCTCCCAGAAATAGTCAGAAAAAGTCCGAAGTACTCAGATTTAGTCCAAAAAGCGTTCCTTAACTCGGAAATGACAGCAAAAATGAGAGAGCAACAGTCAGTGAGAGTGACTCTCATCAGTCCGAAGTAGTCAGCTTTAGTCAGAAGAATTTTTTCTGGCAAAATCCTGAAAAGTGTCAAACTCAACTGAATTTAAATTAACGGAAATTAAAGAATACGCTAAAAGTGAGAATAATCTAAAAAGTAAAAGAAATGAATTGAAATTGGAAGGAGGCAAAAAATAATTGATATAGCAAGTGTTTATTGTGCTTCTGCTTGTGTGAATGTGTTTTGTACATACATTTCTGTTCTTATTTGACGTTAGTTTTGTTGTTGCCATTCTTTGTACTAAAAATTTGTTTTTTTTTGCGTTCCTTTACTTTTCCTGTTATTCTCTTTTAGTGAGGGCATTTTGCTTACGTTCTGGCATTTTGACACTTTTCAGATTTTAGTCCAAAAAGATGTGGAATGAACCTAAAATCATGTATTGAACTTATCAGTCAAAACGAAATTATGAAGCAAAGCGAAGCAAAAGTCTTATGTAAACGGCCCTTAATAGACAATTATTCTTATAACTCTTGATTGCGCATTCGATGCAAGAATGATAGAATACAAGATTGCGCCGATCGGAGAGGATTTTTGAGAATAACTTGTGTGTGACGTCCCACTGGTGCAATTGCGAGAGAGAAATGCCAAAACGTGAGCAAGAATGGAAGAAGAAGAAAAAATGTTGCAAGGAAAACGTAAACAAGTTGCACCAGTGTGACGTCATGCAAACAACGATTCTGTCAAATTCGTTAAGAGAGGAATAGCGGTCCGAGATCGGCGCAACCTTTGTATTCTCTCAATCGTGCATTCGATGCACATTTTTATTCTTATTTTTGATATGGTAGCTTTGGTCACTGCAAGGCGAATTTATACAAGGTGGTGTTGATGGCGAATTTAGATTTTCGCCACGGTACTTCCTAATGTCAAAATCATGTGTTTATTGTAAGCAAGGCGAATTCATATTACAACAAACACATCATTTTGACATTAAGAAGTACCGCGGCGAAAATCTAAATTTCCCATCAACACCACCAAAAACACCACCTTGTATAAATTCGCCTTGGGTTCCTGTTTACATCTGACAGCTGTCTTGATTGAGCAGCCGAGTGGAGTTCTGCTTGCTTTTGGTTTTCGGACTCTTTAGTTTGTTGTCGCGGAGTTGTGACGCTAAAAATAAATGTGTAGTAATGGAATTTTCGGTATTACAAGGAAATGTGTGTAGAAATAAAAAACATTTCAAAGTAAATGCAGATAATACACCAAGAAACGGGAGTGGCTATCTTTTTTTTAAATCGTGTAAAGTGTTCTCATCTGGGTACATACATATGTTTGTAAATACATGTGTCCATACATACGCCTCCATCTAAAAAAAAATGTTAGAAAATATTTACACTAGCGTTTGTAAATTAAAATCCGTATAGATACTTCGTGTATATATACATTTTGGCACACTCTATGTACATACATATGTACATATATGTGGAAAGGGAAAAAATTAAATCTTTTGTGTTTGAAGTGATTTTTGCATCTCAAAGTGAATTTGGTAGAACAATCGCTATCCGCACCTTACGTTAACTTACATCAATTACTTAGCTCTAGAGTGGAGCGTAGTTTTTAGAAAGTCAATGTCCAAATCAAAGGATTCAACTACAGTTTCGTTACTCACCGGAGCTTCCTTGGATAGCGCCAGCAGGACACGCGCTCAACAACGATTCAGCCTAACAACAAAGCGGCGAAAAATGTCACGCCGTGCCAATCTTATAGGTATTTGTGGCGTTAGCAGTCTCTGCATATTGCTGCTGATAGCGACAACCCAACATCGACCTGCCTCTATGACCATATCTAACGGCATGGCCGTTGGCGTTGGTGACATATCAGGCGTACAAACAGGTTATGTCGATCGGCATCATGTGGGCACTGCGAGCGTGGCATATAATATGACTGCTACAATAGCGGATGTCCTGGCGGCGCAACGCACGAAGATTCTTACTGAAATGGAAAACTTCGAGTATCCACAGGGACGTTTCGGTGTGGATGCAGAAAAGTTATCCGACATGACACCTGAGACAAATGGTACGCCAGTACGTAGCGTCATCATAACAACTTGGCGTTCGGGCTCTACATTCTTGGGCGACATATTAAATGCCATGCCAGGGAACTATTACCATTACGAGCCGTTACTATCGTTTGGAATTAATCAAGTGCGCGATACGTCAGAAGGAATCGAAGCGTTGCGTATGTTACGACAGTTGCTCTACTGCAATTATACAGATATGCAGGAATATCTTGATTACGGCAAACAGCATTCGTATCTATTTGAGCATAATGAACGTTTGTGGAGTGTGTGCAAAGAGTTTCCACACTTTTGTTGGCAACCGAAATTTCTTACACCCATGTGTAAACTCTTCCCGATGCAGAGCATGAAGGTTGTACGACTACGATTGTCACTGGCGAAAGCATTACTTGATGACAATAGGTAAGCTAAATTTTTTTTGGTTGATCTCTTCATTAGGATAAGCATTATGTATGTAATTTTCGGTTTTACATATAGGTACGTACACTGTCACTCGGCAGAATAGGTTCAACATGATTTTCAACTTTAATTGTATGGTGCATCTATTATATTGTCCATATGTTGTTTTTGTAAATTTAGTATTAAACTCTAATGGTCAACCAGGACCGAGAACTAAAATGAACAATCAGTTGTATGGGAACTATAAGTTATAGTGGTCCGAATTTTACGGTTCGGACAAATGATATCTCGAAAGCTGAGGGACTTAATTGCGTTCAAACAGAAAGACAGATGGACTTCGCTAAATCGCCTCAGCTCGACGTTCTCATCATTTTGGCAAACGTTTATGTGGGGATATATCTTCTTCTTTTGGTTGTTACAAACATGGGACCAAATTTCTTAAAGTATAAAAAATTACGGAAAAATCGTAAGTTCGCGACCAGTACGTTCGCGGCCATGAATAAAAAACTAATAGAGATATTTCAACGGGCAATTAGTTAGGAGGAAGGTACTTTATTCCACTTAAATGTAAAACAATCGCTTAGAATATTCTATTCCATTCCCGAGTTTCTCGTATTTTTCAATTTGCACCAAAGATATACCTCGCAAAAGTCTATCGAAACATAAACGCAAATTAATAAAAATTTATATTTTCCTTGTTTTTTAAACTTCAAAAGCGTGCGAACGTACGGTTCGCGACCGTTGCAAATGTCCATATACATACATACATATACTTTATTTTATGTCGTCCTGCTATCCTGAAGTATGTACTGTATTTGTTCCAATTCCTAGCCAGCGCTGAACGATTATTTTCGAAACTAAAATTAATAAAAACCCATTTGAGAAACTCTGTGGGGCCAAGACAGGCTACGTAACTTGGCTATTCTGCCCGTTGAAAATTCTATGGCTCTATCTTTAAACTTTGATGATGTTATGGCTCATTTTGGACCCTTATTTTATGCTGTTCTGTGAGTCTTATTGGCCTTATTCTTCGACTCTTATTGAACTTACTTTAGTGCCATATGTTTGCAATGGCATTCATTTCATTAGAGCACTAAGGGGAAGAACAAATTGACATTGACAATAAAAAAAAAATGTTTTAAAAATTTTTATTCAGCTCGAGGCCGTTTTTTAATGAAAACTTATTGTGGAAAAGCAACAATAATTTGAAATAATGGTAGAAGTGATAGCTATTTCGGAAATTACCACATTTCCTCATCAGATTTCTTTCAGTAGGATTCGAACCGACGATCCCACTGACTCAGCCAAGTTGCCTACGCACTGTGCTAAGTTCGCCTTATTAATTCTTGTTGCTTATTTCCACTATTTTCACTTGTTAAGCCAACTACAATCAAGCGCCATAAAAAAAAAAAAATGTTTTAAGTTTTGAGACCAAACCTCGAAGCCAGGGTCAAGGCAGTTGGCCTGCCACTTGAAAATTGTGCTGCGGGAGTTTAGTCACTCCGGAATAGCAGTCTAAATTCCTACTTATCCAGAGATGAATCCGCTGTGTTGGGTAACATGATCGCCTCGGCTTGTAAAGGCACCCTACATAACACCACTTCCTCACTTGCCCCGTTTAAACAGCTAGTTTCCTGGGCCTACCGTTATTTGAGTGGCGTGTACCTCTTAGTACTCGGTTATGGCGGCCGCCAATTGTAAAAATTACCTTTCGGAATAAATAAAATTGAACACGAGAATAGCATGTGAAAAGGCAGTGTAAATTAATCAATAAACGAATTTTGTTACTTCATTTCCATTAATCATGAAGTGGGTCTTTAGTGACACGTTCTTTCACCAAGAAATTCCTTTAGCAAACCGTAGCGTCAGCATATGTTCATTTGTCGTAAGCGAAAGCTTGAGCAATGAGTGTCTCAATAAAAGGAATACGCTAACAGAGCGCCACTACAAGGCAATGTAATGTAACAGTAAAAAAGTAGAGCAAATAATGCCAGACAAAGTACCACCACATAGCACACGGTGACGTTCGTAGGTAATTTTGGTGGACATTCAAGTGGGCCACCGGCTTTGAGCAGCAGCAGCCAAGCAGTCTACTACTATGTTTATGCGACAGAATTCATGAATTCTTCATTTCATGAATTGAAAAATGGTCCCGTTTATGCATATTTCGCGAATTCATGAAATAAAGTGCTTTGAAAAAGTGGCAACGCACTGGTAAGAAACTAAACAGTAGGGTTGTGACTCTTTTGGTCTCCTTTTGAATTTGTAAAGCTCGCTGAAATCCAACAGTGGCGCCAAATATGCTTTCCTTGCCCACCTTGGCATTGAAATATCCATGGGGGCAGCGTTTCAAATAAATATATTGATCCCAAATAACGTCGATTGAATGCTACTTTGGAGTACGCAGTATCGATACTTTTGAGAATCGAGCTCTGAGTTCTTTTGGTATCGATACTGCCCAACACTAAACTGCATTCAATTCCATGCATTATTTTTTGAGTGATACGAGTACAAACATACACACAGACAGACGGCAAAAATTCTAAAAATTGTTGTTGTTCTATAGATAACCAAACTTTAACTTGGAAAAACTTTGTAAAAAAAATTAACATGTTTTCACTTTTTTGATTAACAGTGCATACATATCTAGGTACATACATATGTAGATATATTGGAATGTAAATAAGTTTTTTTTTGTTTTTAATTACAGTTAATAAATCGAAATTAATTCGTGGTATAAATTAAAAAATGCGTATACATTGAATAGTTTTCGTAAAAACATATCGTTACCTTAATATAGACGCTGAAATGCAAAAAAGGCGTAACTGAATAAAATTTGTTTATTGATTAAAATGATTTGGGGCCACATAATTAGATGAAATATATGGATAACATATCGAAACTTATAGGTAGTAGGTATGTACATTAGGGCGGGTAAATTATTTTGACCTTGCGCGTATAGCACAGTATTATTCTACGTGTAGT